TGCTGCAGTGCACGGCAGCTCCGTGTGCTCCCCTGTCCAGCACCAGCTAACGAATTCGCAGCTATCTGAGATGCTGCAGCTGCAGCAGCAGCAGCTGCAGCAGCAGCAGCAGCAACTGCAGCAGCAGCAACTGCAGCAGCAGCAGCTGCAGCAGCTAGCAAGCAGCTGCTGCTGCGGCAGCTACTGCTGCGAGAAATGCCGCTGCGTAGCTGCTGCAGCAGACAGCGACGCTGCTGCTGCATCGAGCAGCAGCAGCAAAGCACTGCGGCAGCCAACGAGCAGCAGCACAGCAGCAACAGCAGCAGATGTTGCTTCGCTTCTGAACTGGCCTTCTAACGGCAGCAGCAGACAGGAGAGTCACTGCAGCAACAGCAACAGCAGCAGCAGCAGCAGCAGCAGCGACAACAGCTGCTGCACCTCTGCATGGGCTACAGCAGGCAGCCGCAACACAACGAGGTCTTCAGTAGGAGGAGATGCAGCATTTGGGTCTGGTGAGGGTTACCCGCAGCAGCAGCAGCAGCAGCAGCAACAGCAGCAGCAGCAGCAGCTGCTGCTGCTGCAGCAGCTGCAGAAGCAGCAGCAAATCGCACTGCTGCACCGCGTGATGCAGCAGCAAATGGCGAGGCAGCAGCAGCTCATTGAGCAGCAGAAGCTGCGGCTGACGCAGCAGCAGCTGCAGGGTGGCTTCCTTCTCGGTTCTTCTACGCCGCAGCAGCAGCAGCAGCAACAGCAGCAGCTGCTGCTGCAGCAGCAACTCCAGCAACGGCTGCAGCAGCAGCAGCAGCAGCAACGCATGCAGCAGCAAGTCACCCGGCTCCGTGCTACTCCTGAGTACACCGATGCAGCAGCAGATCCGAATACAGCAGCAGCAGCTGCTGCTGCTGCTGCTGTCGCTGCAGCAGCAGCCAACAATAGGTGGGTGCTACCGGCTCAACAGCAACAGAAACAGCAGCAGCAGCAACAGCAGCAGCAGCAGCAGCAGCAGCAGCAGCAGCGGTATGCATCATAGAGCGAAGCTCAGCTTTTTAATAAGTCCCCAGTATAGCAGC